CAGTGCGTAGTAGAAAATCTGAGTGGGTTGTCAACTCTTGCTTCATGAGCGAGTGACTTTTGAACTTGGGCACCTTGATTTACGCCCCGTGACCATTACTGGTTCGTAGTTCGCTCGCCGCTCCTTTCATCCTCATGTGCTTAATGGTCTGCCTAAATTCTTTCTTTCGCAGTTGCTAGTAAACCGAAAAGGAATACGAGAGCACACGAAAGCCGGTACTTTGTTCGCAGCATATAGCGTAAAATTGCGATAAACACAATGTTGGCCAAATTGGGAGAAAATTATTCACAAGGTTACCGAAAAACAAACGAGCGTGCCGGGACCATTACTCAACATTAATGGTCTCGTCACACGTTGATGAGGAGGGGCACATACTTGACAGAGACATAACGAAGGTTCTGGCACAGGGAGATATTACAAGAAAACGAAGGTAAAATCTCGAAGTGTGGTTTGTTACAGATAATTCAGTAAACCTGCCCATTGACTTAGATCCGGTTTAGCAGCAATTGCGAAAGAAAGAACCTAGGCAGACCACTAACCACATGAGGCTGAAAGTAGCGGCGATCTAACTACGAACTAGTAATGCACAGTGTTGCAAAGAGATCTATTTTCGGCAGTTCACATCAGGCAAATACAACTACAGGACTGAAAAATGCATTAGTAAACTGGTGTAAGCAACAATGAGGACGGATGGGGCGATTCGAACAGTTTTAGCATGTTCATTTGATGCTCGAATCGATTTAATCAGGTGACATCGTGATCGGGCTAACCGGCAGCTAAATAACTTGTGTAAACAGAAAAGGCAAAATTACTAATCAAATAAAATTAGTTAATTACGCAAATAAATAGCACCCGGTTAAGCGAGATACTCCGGGGAACCTTATCATCAGGGCCATGGCAAAGTCAAGGGTTGCACAAGCACCCTATGCTTGCATAGCTCTGGTTGTGTTAGCCGGATCGCGATGGCTTCGGCTGTCTGCAGGAGGCGTTTCCTTAGCCCTTTCGGGTATCGCCTCGGTACGGCGTATTAGACTTTGAAAGCATCTTTTGTCAAAATCTGATGCCCACTAAGAATCAGATGTTCCATAATCGAGCTGTTGATACTTCTGTGCATGCCTCTCCGCATTGACCCTGGACAATGTTCAGCCATCCGTACCGACAGACGCCTGGTCGTATGCCCGAGGTACTTTGCACCACAGGTGCAAGTAAACTGGTAAACAATGTAAGATTCGGACGACACTGGCAGTCTGTCTTTAAGACGTTGCGCTATGAAGGGAGCGGTCTCTGCAACTACGTGCAGTTGGGCGGCCGGGTAGGTTCTTGCTACGGCATTAGAAAGTCTTCTGCTCAGGAGATCGAAGGCGATATCTCCCTTAAAAGGAACAGTGAGAAACACATCCTTCTTTGGAACCGTTGCTACGGGCTTATCACGCTCACCGGTCATGGCGTGCTTTTTTTATGAAAGGCTCTGGGTATCCATTCGCAAGAAGTGTTTTCACAATTCGGTCCTTCTCATCCTCGAGAGTTTCGGGACTACAAATTTTTGTGGCCCGGTAATGCAAGCAACGTACTAAGTTGCGTTTGTTGCGTTTGTTATATATATATATATATATATATATATATATATATATATATATATATATATAAAACATTGCAGGCTAGTGATTGGAGACATCCGGCTCCGAATTTGCCTGTCAATGCGGTCTCCATATGACAGACCCAGGGCGTCTGCGCCTATACAAAGACCATTGGTGACTAGCGCTGCACCACCCACAGGTCATCCACACACCCCATCTACAGTGTAAACCCTAAGGAATAAGACCGGAAGACATGTCGCCGGGAGCCACGGTTCATCAACGGAGCCAGATCATACTCCTTCAACATGCACAAAAGGAATTCCGGCCTAGCTATGTAAGCAATCATGCGTTCTAGACTTACACAGGACGGTTGCTGGATTGTAGTCCGCTTCAAACTGGATGAACCACTCTTTGAGCCTAGTAGTGCTACGAGGATCATGCTCCCAGTTCCCATCAGCAACCATTCACAGTCTTCTATGGCCAGTAAACGCGATGGAGAGTGTTAGACAGGTCGGCACCTTGTCAACATTCACATGAAGCGAAACCAGACCGGGGATATCAAACAACCAACACAGGATCTGAAGGATAGTAAACATGTAACATGGACACGGATTATTCAGCAGAATAACGAAACCGAGCAAATCAAACGGTGGCGTGTTTTTTATCCAGGTTAAGAAGTCTGTGCAGCCCAACTGTCGTGAAGAAACATGATGTGTGCAACATCAACCTCGGCATGAGGAAGATTATGGGCTACTAACCAACTATTTAATCACATGAAATAGCTTGGGTCGTCAAGGGGAATGAAGTGCAGGCGGCGGCTTGGATGGCTGCATCACTGTTATTAAACAAATTCTCCTGCAGGATTGGTCTTTCGTGAGCATTACGATTTCAGCGTTTGTTTAATTAACTCGCCGGCGGCCACCTCACTGCACACATGTTCGGCCTACAGTTTCCCCTCATAATATGAACCCTGGATGAAAAATTCTTAGATTCCATATAAAACATGAAGGAGACATTACTTGGCGTTATCTACCTTTACGTGCCTAAGTAGCAGAGTTTATCTGAATGAGTGGGACGGTTGCTTGTCGTGCATGAGCACCTAGTAGCGACACTGCGCTATGGTGTCCAGTACCACAGTCAGTCACATGCCTAGATGTATCCATGCACCATCTACCTAATATCTGACTGGGATTTATGTCATAGATGGATACGTGAACACTCAGAAATACTTGAATGCTTCATATTAGTCCTATGTAAAATTAGAAAGGCGTTGAACGAACAAGACTTCTTTAGTAACGCCGATGGCCAACTCTTTGAATGTGGCGGATATGGTGGTCACCGATAATAATCCAGTGTTGTCTCTGTTCTACTCTTTTCTTGTAAGCTCACTGACCCCGTTTGAACAGAATGTACCGACCCGCTTCCTTGAAATCTTCCCCTGGTTATGTCATCCATGGGATGTTTGGATCTGAAAGTCCATTTTAATAAACTGCTGATAAAGAACTATCATTCTTTCGAATAATCATCTGGGTGGGGCGTTCCAAATCATTTTCATCAAGATCGTTGTGCTTTGTTTGGTTCCCTTATCATTCAGTTAAATTTGCAAGGAAAGCATTCGAGTATTTCATTGCTCCTTTCTGGTGGTGGAGAGGATAACCGCATTTTAGTAACATTATCATTCACATGCACCTAAGTGAGCTTAGTACATGATCGAACATTACGATCGTTTCTTGCTCCAATGTTGAAGGGAAGCGGCGAAATCCATCCTCTTAGCAGAATGTTCCAATGGCTCTTCCTGGTGCTTGCTACTCCTGAAATCGCACTTGGTCAGTTTTTTCTTCCTTGCTCCTACTGTACGGACGAAATGCAGTGGTTCATTCGAGGTTGCACATTACGATCCAATTACATCGAAAGCGATCACGTTCAGAGCGACGTATCTGGCAGTGCGTTTTTCTGGGTCTTCTCCCTACAAAGTTGGTCGTTGATGTGTAACGGTTCTCGAGTTTGGCGTTGCGATTGTAGTGTAATTTGTAATTTGCTGTAGGTATTTATTACCTAATTACAGAATTGGAGTCCACTTGGAGAAGCAAACAACATGACACGAAGGCAGGAAAACGCTGAACTTCACATGGTCCTGCTCCCGTATTGTTGCTGCCACTGTAATCATACACCGCTGTTCATAGCAACACCGATGACACAACCACAACACTTATGTCGTTTAAGTTCAAGTCTCAATTCCGTCGGATTCGATTGGGTATGGTCCCCAGTGGGTTGGATATTCATGCAGCAATGCACAAAGGCAAAAAGTGGGTTAAATTAGGGAAACAGTCAGTACCCTTTCCAAAATCAGTCAACGAGTTCGAACCTGCTGGTTCGAGTGACCGGTTCAAGTGTGCCCTATAGTCAGTGATCCATCCAAATTCGAGCATCCATTTCATCTCAGTTGGTCCTGTACACGAGGGGACAATAGAATGTTCTCTCGGCCTAGTCTCTTGCAAGGTATGCTATCCAGAATTACGGAAGTCTAGGTCGACGTAGCGGAAGGTTGGACACATAATTCTACAACAGTAACTACAATATGGCGCAATTCGGCCCATTCGGCTTGTTATCCCACCTGTGTAAATGTTTGAGTCTGATGATAGTTATCAAAAAGAATTCGTCACTCATCACCCGCCAGTGCTTTGATTTCTGCAAAATACTAATGTACCTAAATGACTTCACACTACGTTCCCAATCCTAGCCTGGTGTTTGTTAACCAATAAAATTACTGATCGCCAGTGGGTGCTTTGTGAACAGCAGTTAAACGATCAGGCACAACAGCATATTAGCAAACATACACCACAAGGGCTAGTAAACGTGTTTCACGGTAAACGTGGGTGGTACTCAAAAGACCATACATTTCTGCAGTCATTTCGACAGCGTTACGTCGATACTGACGTTTGTGTGAGGAATGATAGAACGCAGGCCAACATATTTTTGATTTGCAATCCCATGCTTTGTAACATCCCAGCGGCCTGCATAATTCACCACGCAATCGTGAATAGCCGGTTTTACTTGCTGTCAATAATGTATTTTATTAGCTACCTTGACTCGTCATCATGTTGACTCCATAACGTTAATGCACACTCTACCCCTTCGGAAGACACTGATGTGCTCAACTTCTTGTTCCTTTGCTTACACGGAGTCTATTCCTTTTGGTGTCGCATTGTTGCAATGAGGAAATGCATATTTCCCTATTTCTCTAGCTGCATTATACAAGTCTTCAGCTTCTATCCTTGTGCCGGTTTCATTAGCAAAGGAAGTATCTCAAAACACATCTTTTACCATTTGCTTATCGGTGTTGGAGATTTTCAGTCACATGTTGTGGTATATCGGTTGGTTGAGCCCTTTACCATAAAACAACTTTCCACCCGCAATTTACAGGCAGAACATCGGTCGTTTCACCTCATCGGCTCACAAGTGTGATCCAGTCTTTCAAGAAGAGGGTACATGCGATCAAGCAGGAAATTGATGAGATACGATCGAAACCGGTGAGCTCAGCATGCTGTCACTTGTGTTGATGCCGTTATCTGCACCTGATACTAATAACGACGGCTGTCAAGCCATGGATTTATTGGATAACGATGCCGTAAATATTCGTCACTTATGCAGGTCACGCGATGCAAAGGTGCGCTCATTGGTGCCTCAGACAAATGCCTGAGTTTTTGACGTACCTTTGCCTATGGACCTAGGTGATGGTGCTGAGTATTGCGTAATGGCTTATAACCGGTAAAAAAGCATAGACTAAACTCGATAACGACCATGTTTCCATCAGGTAAATCACTACACAAGCTCTTCCAGAATAGACCAAGGAATATATAACCAATATGAAATAATGGTACACAAAACTCCGCAACAACAAAACTTATGTGATTCCGAATTCTTTTGATATCACACACCCAGAATACATATCTCACTCATGCATGAGCATGATCAGCACTGTACCCATGGTCTGTTCACAATCCAGGGGCAACTTCCCGCGCAATCGGGGAAGTATACGTATTATTATTATGAAGTCTACGAATAGCTCACTATCCTGGAAGTGCACTGGTTCTCTAATTAAACCAAATGTCTTCCATTCAAACTGGCCAGTGTGTCGTCATTTATCCGTTTAGAATCCTCCCATATCCATACTAATGGGGTGCACTCAAACGTGGTCAATTCCACTGGGTCATCACCTTGAGCCGAATGGGACAAGTGCTGCCCGCAACATGAACCCGGCATACGCCACTGGATTGAGAGGTGTATGGGAGCGTGCGCGCGCTGTGCATTTACCTAACTTTGTACGAAATCAGCGGATCGAAAATATAATTGCTGTGATAAAGAAAAGCAGTCACACGGTTCACACTCACAATGTGACCGATGTTGATCATCGTGGATTGCAGTTCATTGGCACGGTTACTCAATTGGGTGGCTGCGTCCAGTTCATTTTTTGCTTGGCCCTGTAAGTCTCTCAGCAGCGCTTCGACCAGCTCCAGGCGCTGCTCCAGTTCCTTCCGCTTGTCCATCGCTTGGGGCACACCGTCTTTCGTTTGGGCAATGTGTTCTTCAAAATCTATGGGTGAGATTGTGAATCAAAATGAAATCTGTTATCTGATCCGAGTGACATCAATGGAACAGTGGTTCAGAACGGGTAAAAAAGCATAGGCCAAACATATCTTCTGGGTTGGTAATAGAAGAAATTGAAATTGGAATGCTGCATAAGTGAACCAAATAACATATGCAACGGTAAAGTGATGCAGTACTGGCGTATAGAAGGAGGGTAGTGTGAGGGCGATAGTACCAGGCAAAACGATGTAACAAGTTGTTGGGGTTAATAATCATCGCAAATGACAGGCAGATTGATCACCTCTCTGCACATATTTACCTGCGTCATTGTGCGTCATAATTCCAAAGGGGCTAATTAGCCTGAATGTATCCAGAATATCCGTTCATGTGTCAACGTGTAGAGAGTTCAATTCCATATCCAATCGTTTTTTCTTGAAACCAGCTAAGGTGGGGGCCCATGCAACTGTGTTTGGGACAGCGTTCTAGTATTGGCAGATCCAGAAGAAGAACTAACTTCGTCGACAATCTAAACGATTATATTGTTGACTCAACTTTAGGGTATTGTATCTCAAGCTAGTGTTCGGGATGAGTTTCAATAGGTGACGGCCTACATGACTGGGGTCGCTCACTATTTGGTAAACTAACATGAAGCCTCCACGTAGCCGCCTGAAGCATCAACTGAACACTCCGTGTGTCTTCACTCAGTGCTGGTACGGAAGGTAGCGCAAGCCCTTGATAAATTTCGTTGTTCCACGTTGGGCAGTTTCGGGTGCGGGAACCTCACGGTTTAGCCAGGATGCCAAGCCTGGATTGCGTATTCGACGTTGGGATGCACATAGGCATTGAGCACCAGAGAAGATGGCTGGATCCAAATTTCCGAATGTCCTCACAATTGACCAACATCCTGGTTATCTCTTTTAGAAGCGGACTCCGACTGTCTGGAACAATCGAGATCGTCCTGTACCAGCACACCGAGGTCACGTTCCTCAGAGCTTGTCTGCATATCGTGCGTCCCAAGTTTGTCGATGTAAGCGTGTAGCTGGCGGATGTGGACAACGCAGTACTTGCCTACATTGAATGGAGTACGTTCCTCATCGACCAATGCCATGTCTCATCGAGGTCGCGCTGGAGCATCTTGTCGTAGTCCATTCGGTTGATTACCCTTTAATCGTCCGCGAAGACTAAAACGTTCGGAGTGATAACTCTCCCTAGATTGCTAATGAAAAGTAAGAACTGGGGAGGCCCAAGCACCAAACCATGCGGTGTGCCACACTCCAATCGAATCGGGTCAGACAGAGGTTCCCTGACTCTAACCTCAGATTACCGTCCATGGAAAGTTACCCATCCATCCTGATACTGAATCTCCAATGCTGTAGTGCTGAAGTTTGTCCGGTTGGATTCGATGATCCAGGCAATCGAACTTTCGAAAAGTCCATCTAGATAACATCGGTTCCTGTCTCCTCGTCAACTGTTTCGGACCAGTTGTTACGTGCTATCAGCAATTTCGTGGCACATCATCGACGTTGACGAAACCCCTGCTGCTGCAGCGCAATGACTCCGTAGCTTTCCAGGTAGCCCATCAGGACGTCAGCGATGAGCGCTACCATGACTAGGTCAAGCACAGGGAGAAGCGTTACCGCGCGTTAATCGGCAGGATCAGATCGACTTCCTCTATTGTGCATCGCGGTTTTAATACCTCTATTTCAATTTGAAGGAGCTATGTTTTCATCTAGACAACACTGAAAGAATCCGGCAAGTGATTCGTCTAGGTGCATGGCTGCTACCTGCAGGGCTGTAGGGTGAATGCTATCCACTTCAAGAGAGCTGTGTGTAAGCAATCATAGTAGCTTTTTCAGAACGATTTCTGCTGGGAACGTGATGCCGGATAAAACTGATGGTGTGGCGACAGAAGCAGGAATAGCCTTCGAGGCTTGTACCCCTAGGTGAGTACTGGGACGTAAGATTTCGGCCGCGTCATTCGCTGTGTGTGGATACCCACCACCTGTAGTGAGTGGTTGAATTCCGCTCTGCACCTAACGAAGTCTATTCACATGTGTGTAAAGAATCTTGTGGTTTGAACAGAATCGTTTCGCTAGCTCCTACTGGTATGTTGCCTTGTCCTCACGCTGAGCTGCGTACGCTATCCAATTATTGGAGCTGGGAGTGTTTTTGTAAACGCACCATGTCCGATCCCTCAAGGCCATAAATATTCCTGTTCACCTTCTCAGAAAGGATGTTCGTTTAATTGGACGATAGAAAGCTTTTGGCTATGATGCTTCCGGGACTAGCGATGTGAAGGTATTCAAAAATGTTTTCCAAGCTACTTCTGGGGTGCGCTCAGTCATGAATGTCCAACTAGCGTTTTCAATGTATACGGAAAATAGGTGAGAATGCGTAATAGATTGCTTCATTTCGGGCCCTGTATCAGGGTTTCCTGTGTAGCAAATGTAATCGAACAGTAAAGACATCTGATCGTTTTGGCCCAAATGATTGCATACATATTGCCCATCAACCATGAGCTCCTCGCTGGTGAGCACTAGACCTAAGATTGATGGCTTCTTCGCTGTTCCGAACCTGGTAGCAGCGGTGACGTGGTCGTCTAGAGTCTAATAGTGATTACTTCTTGTAAACTGGCCTTGTATTTAAAGCACTGAGTTCCCTTTATTTTTCTAAATAAGACAATGAGAAAACTGGTATTGCGAGATGGAACCATTTCGTGTTATCTGCTCACTCGCAAACTAAACATAAATATGAACCACGTGACAGAAAACTTGAAAGTTTGAAACTGGTCACAAAGGAAAACTACGTAGGTGCAAGAACAACATATCAACGAGCTTGCTCTTAGGGTCATGAGCCTCAAGAAAGCTTTAGGGAGATTGTTAATGGTTTCTATACACGAAGGACAGGGCGATGCCGGTTAAGTGCCACAGCTTCGACAAACCTCAAAACTTTGGCGTTTTCATTTCAATAGATAACTGTAAATGTTGACCCAGCGTCAACCTGATGGCCTGCTTCGAATAGGTGTTTGGCGATAGATGATGGCGGCAGCTTGAATGCCTTTTCTTTTTCGGCTGCTTGTTGTGTGGATAGTTTAGCAATCCGTTTTGGGATATGCTCTCCAATGCGCTTACCCAAGGATCGGCCTGTTTTGCCAACGTAACTACTTCTGTAGTGACAAATGTCGATCCAATACACTTCGAGACTCAGTATGAAAACCTACTGGACCAACTATCCATATTGACCCCGACGACTAAGGAACAGCACAGCTGGCTCAGAGTTAACCTCGTTGACATTGCAAACCGGTACATGGTGGCCTCGATACACCAAACCTGTTGTATAGCTAGAAGTCACTAAGAAGCCCTACGTGATCTGAAGGTAAGTGATGTCTTGGTGATAAAACCTGACAAAGGCACACTGGTTGTAATTATGAAGAAGCTTAACTACCAAAACAAGATGTATGAGATCTTGGGAGATGAATCCAAATTCCAAGAAGATCAAAGGGGAACCACTGTAATACCAATCGAAAAGAGGGTGACTATTCAACAAAATTGCTTGCTGCAACATGGAATTATAACAGAAGCGACGTACAACACTCTAAAGCCAATGGGGACACGCACCCCTCAGATGTATGGCTTACCGAAGATCCACAAGGCCAACACACCTTTAAGACCTGTACTATTCATGTGTAACTCACCATACCACAAGTTGGCGCGCTGGCTGGTTTATCTGCTCACACCGGTGAGACGAATGATGAGAAAATATACCGTGAACGACACATGCGACCTGATTGACTGTGGGCAAAACATGCATATTGCTGATAAGGTAATGTGTTCAATGGACGTACAGTCTTTGTTCATTAACATTCCATTAAGAGAAACGGTGGATTTCTTATGTGAGTTTATCATGCGTAATAAATTAGTGTTATCGATTCTCGTGAAAGATCTTCGGGATTTGCTGCTACTATGCACGGAAAATATGCATTTCTTATTTGAAGACAAGCCGTACTGACAAGTGGATGGTGTAGCCATGGGAGGTCCGCTTGGCCCGGTATTGGCTAACATCTTCATGACGATGGTCGAAATGAGATGTGAGCTGCACATCAACCAAATGTCTTTATACAGGCGATACGTAGATGACACACTAGTGATCGCCCCAAGTAGAGACACTGTTCTCTCTCTGCTCAATGTGCTCGATAACGCACATGCCAACGCCCTTTTACCTGTGAACTGGAGGGTAACAATTGCCTTCCGTTTCTAGATGTGTTGTTGAACAGACGAGAAGACGGCTCCATAAATCGTTCTGTTCACAGGAAACTACATGGACAGGACTGTATGAACATTTCAACAGCTTCGCCCCTATGCAATACAAGCGGTGCTTAGTCAAGACGCTGTTTATTCGAGCCCGCAGAATATGCACTGACGACTGTTTGGAATCGGAATTGCTGTTTATCACACAGACGCCAGGGGCCAACGGATATCCAGAGGCGTTTATTCGATTCCACAGTCAACTGAAAGAAACAGGCCGAGGGTACTTACTGTGCCCAAACTGTCTGTTTAACTTCATTTACCTTTCAAAGGTAATATCGTGGCCGCACAACTTGAAAGACGTTTGCATACAGCGATTCGCCGGACATTCAATGCCGCCAAATTCTGCCCCATTTGGGAGACCAGGAAGTTGCCCATGCCTCCAGTGAAGTCTACTCAACCGATCTCCGCCACAACCCATTGTATTTACCAATTCGTTTGTAAGTGCGTTAGTAGTTACATTGGCAGAACAGGCCGATCCTTGGGTAAGCGCATTGGAGAGCATATCCCAAAACGGATTGCTAAACTATCCACACAACAAGCAGCCGAAAAAGAAAAGGTATCTAAGCTGCCGCCATCATCTATCGCCAAACACCTATTCGAAGCAGGCCATCAGGTTGACGCTGGGTCAACATTTACAGTTATCTATTGAAATGAAAACGCCAAAGTTTTGAGGTTTGTCGAAGCTGTGGCACTTAACCGGCATCGCCCTGTCCTTCGTGTATAGAAACCATTAACAATCTCCCTAAAGCTTTCTTGAGGCTCATGACCCTAAGAGCAAGCTCGTTGATATGTTGTTCTTGCACCTACGTAGTTTTCCTTTGTGACCAGTTTCAAACTTTCAAGTTTTCTGTCACGTGGTTCATATTTATGTTTAGTTTGCGAGTGAGCAGATAACACGAAATGGTTCCATCTCGCAATACCAGTTTTCTTATTGTCTTATTTAAGTCTTGAATTGTTTCCCCTCAGTTGCGTCCGTTTCCCATCAGGATATGGGTGTAGCTCTGAATTATTGCAATACGAAATGCAGATATTATTCTGTGGTCCATCGGAGTGGATTTTGGCGGCGGTGAACTACAGACGCATGGCATATGTCGTCGTCCTAAAACCACAGTTTGCACTAAAGTAGATCGGTGACTCACTTTTGGGTATTATCTTTGAACTCACAACGAAGGTTTGTTCTGCAATAAATGATTATTCTCACTCCACTACCTGTTCTGTCGATCCGAACATGGGCTTTACCGAGTAGAGCAATCTCAACGTCGGTTTATTTCACAGATCAACAACGTTTCGGTGATCGTTATGATATCTCGAACCTTTGAAACCTGACGGTGATGTAGTTCGATTAACTTACCACACGGCCTAATGCGTTAGTATACAAGCCGCTCAGTTACACAGTAACTAAAAGTAAATCATTGGACGTTGGACCAAGATTGGAGGTTGTACCGACCGTTGAGGGGTCAGCCACCAACCTTTTTGTAAGGATTCGTTGGCCGTTGCAGTTCGGTTGCTTCATGAATTGTAGAGGACATCTCACGGGATAAGTTAATGGGTGTACTATGTCTGTCGTTAAATGAACCAGTAAAATCCACCTGGAAAGCTGACGCTTGGAACCTTGGTATTTTCGATCCGACGTGAATTGGTGCTATACGAACGGATTGAAACGCATGGACATGGCAACACTCCCTCAGCTTCACAGAAATATGCTGCCGACCCACTTGTGTTTCCCCTAGTTGCTTCTTTCTTTATAATAAGAAACAATGCTAACATGGTTCGGTCTGGTAATTACTGACCACCATTTCCGTTCTCAAAAGATACAGAAGACTTTCTGCGAACCTCATCCGTACGTTGCCCTTACCATGGTTACCTCTAGTATGCTCACAAGCTCATGCATCGTGGACTCACTACTCGCCGATACTAGCAAATCAGAGAGAGAGAGAGAGAGAAAGAGAGGAGAGAACCATTTAGAATGCAAAGTTGCTGACCAGCTGTTTGCATTTTACCAGCGGCTGGAATATTGTTGCATTTACCTCCCTCCTTCTTCTCTATAATGACGATAGTAGGGATCATGACGACCACATTCTGATTTAGCGATATGGGACTACAGCTTTTTCGAGAAACCAGTGCTGTTGTTGAATCCATTTGGCAACTCAGCAGAGACTTGTAACTCTTTTTCTTGCCAAGACCTTTCGTATTGACTATGCAAATGTAGCATCCCGTTGTGTGGTTCGTTGGTTTATGCCAATCCATGGGAATTGCAAGTTGTAGGCCTTCGCGTTCACCTTTTGTCCAGTCAGGAATCAATAATAGCACACAATGTGAGGTGCCCATGTTTTATCTTGGTCACTAAGAGGCTTTTCAAAATATTCTTTACAGACATTTAACGAACGAATTGGCATTTTTCCTTTGATGAACTAGTGTATAACAGTCGCATGCATATCGAAATGCATCAGATTCACTTAAACAGTTATGTCTACTTGAGTGAGTCATCGTCACGTCTGAAACCAGAGTGGATTGGTATAGAATTTTATGTGCGGGGAAACTAGTAAGATGCAAGTAAAACAGAGCATGTTGAAAAAACGGATCTGAGATTTTAAGTTAACATTAAATGTTAACTTAGAAACAGTTGTAATATCTCCTGCAACAAAAGAACAATAATATTTTGTTGCACAGTGTTATCTGTAGACCGGTTTTACAGCCCGTGAAAGTTCTGCTTTTGTAAACACACATAAAGGCACCTACTGATCTGTAGTCGGATACGTCGCCGATCACATGGAGTGTGCTGAAGACATTTCCCTAATCTGTGACAGCGACAAAACGTGCCAAGTAGAACTGGACAGATTAGTATTGGCTGTCAACTGTTTTGGGCTATGCTTTGCTCCATCGAAATACAAAGTACTTCTCCAAGATTGGCAGTGACCCACCCCTGACCTGACCCTTGGTGGTAATCAGCTTGAAGTCATTCAGGAATTCAAGTACTTGGGCAGCTTTGTTAGCTCCCGTGGGATCAAAAATGTGGCTAAGTACCATATAGCGAAGGGTCGAGGCTCTTTTGTCAATCTGTGCCGGCCTGACATCACTCTCGCGCTGAAGGGGTGAGTTCACAATGCAGCCATCCGTTCAACTGTGCTGTACGGTTACGAAACCTGGCCCATCAAGTCGGTTGACTAGTTACGTTCGACCACCGCTGCCTTCATAGCTTAGCTTATGTCTGGTGGGAGCACCGTGTGAGCAATGAGTGTGTTCGGTGCCTTATTTATGGCAAAGAAACAGCGAGTAAGCACTCAGCACCGTTAGATCATGCACCAGGTCCAATGGCTAGATCAGTTGTTGCGCATGTCAGCACACCGACTCCGGCGATGTATGTTGTTTTCGCACCAGGGATGTAGATGGAAGAAGAGGAGGGAAGGTTAAGCGATAAATTGTTCAAAAATAATGATAACCCATACTTCGAAGTTGGCGTTGGTTGGTGTTACCCGACTACTTGGTTAGGGACGAAAGAATGACGTACACATCTGGTTGGATACACTTGCTTAATGGAATGAAACGAGGCTTGCGCTGGCTGTTGTTGTTATACTTCATTCACTTGATTAACTAATGGTTTATGTTTGAATATATTCCTATAGCCTCTCGTGGAGCTGGTTGTATACCGTGTTGCAGTAAAATAAAAAGCGATGCCTATAGTTATTTGCTCTCCCCTGGACGGAAATGTAGTCGTATCCTAAGTACATTTTCATTATATTTGTGTCCTGTACTACAATTGCTGTGTGTGCAAATGGACTTGATATTGAGTTATGGTCTGCTGTCGGTAAGGTTGAGTCAATCTCACGAAAGTTTACATTGTAGTTTCCTATCCCTTTGCTAATTGTTACCAGATGCTCTGCTCCGAGAAGCAAATTGACGCAGATTTGGCCCAACTGGATGCCACCATTAGTGAGGTTCTGCCGAATATTCTAGAAGAAGATTTGCGAAAGATGGCGGAGGACTTGCAAAAAGGTATCAAACTCGATCAACCCGATGCCTCACTCAGTAAGGAGGCAGACACATTGACTGAACTAAGCAGAAGGTGAGTCCTTTTGATGATGTATCAATCTCCACCTACCACCGGACTCATAACGCTTCCTGAATGTGGAACGATACAAACGTGGCACGATTCCACGGACAGTTAGCAGGAGCTAGCAAGTGACTAATACAGTATGGTGGATCATTTTGAAGCACTCGTTGTGTGTGAATAGGTTGCGATGCGCAATCCCATTGTGGACCACGATTAGCTTTAAAAGTGAAGTTAAGTCGATTCGATCAGTAGGACCGCAACTGATGAAGCAGATGGCTATTGGATGTTGTCTGCACTGTTTTCGTGCGAGCAACACCCACTTATCATCGACTAACTCAGATGTTTGTTTATCCATCTACCTTCAACTAGCTTTTTTTTACCAACATGTTTAGTTCTGTTACCATTCACGTAGGACGCATTATCGTGTGACTCACTGAGCCATGCGATACCGCTGGGCCTATAACCTTCGAATAGGTCTCTATCGGGGCGTTTGCGAGGAATAGCCCCAAACAACGTGCTTGCGTAGGAGGACCTCGTTGGATGAGCTTTATAACCAAACATCGTGGTATCACTTCGATCTTAGCCATTTACGAGCTACTGACGTGCATCGTGTTGCAATGGCTCATTACTCCTTATGAAGAATGAACCAGTATATGTCAGACCGAACTCCTCCTTGGTAGAGGGCACATTGACCACATTTTATCCTCGACGTTTGTCTTGGTGTCACCATTCTTACGAACAACATATAGTGGTAGCCTTCCTTGACTCGGTAACTGCCTTTGATTCCGTTCACCACATCTATTAATGGTGTTGCTTGGCTTTGAAAAGGAGGCCTGGGAAACTCTTCGCCCAGCTAAACTCGCTGCACCACGATGCAGCAGCCGTGTTAAGTTTTGTGGCAATTTCTCTTTCCACTTATCCATCGTATGGTGTTGGTAAGAGCTGCTTATTCGTTACACTTCTCTTTACTTGTGTAATCGAGCTGATCCTGAGTAGCTGTTTCCCCTCCTTTCACCTTTCTTGGAGTCAGTGTTCTTTTGGACGAAGCTACACCAACTCCTGGGACATTTCTGCCAGACTACTTACTTGATCTAGGTATATCAGAGCCACTCAACAGACACCGACTGGATGTTGGTCGGCGTGCCAGACACGTAAACATTTGCCTTTTGTCTCAGTACTTTAAGCATGAGCACCACTCATAATAACTGGCGGAGAAGTTGTTCGAGGAGCAGTCGGTAATATTGTTTCCTTGATGTGGAAACTTTCAGAGGATGAAGGACTCATGTTAGCTTCCTGCCATTCTGATTAGGTCAAACAGTCAACATCGCAGTCTAGATGTCAAAAAGGTCTGAGGTGTCGGTTTTCATTAATCATTCTGATTTATATCACATGAATACGTGTGCCGCAACTAGATACCATTTCGTACTGCCTGATCACTTGTAGATTGCAACGCGTTTGACGTCCAAATAGGAAACCAACTACTATGAGCCTGTTTAAGCGAACTAAGCAGCAGCAGCAGCAGCAGCAGCAGCAGCAGCAGCTTCTTGAGCTAGGGACAGTCGTCACAAGCCCCATGGAGAGCTTGCGAATGTCGAGCAGCTGCTTCTACACGCTTAGTAACAGACAACTGCCCTGCCCTGGGGCTGATAGCACGATAGACTTCATAAATGTCCCTTTGAGGTCGACTTGATTGCATGTTCCATTGTTCGTTGCGTCGCCGGCATAACAATCCACCTTATAATATGCTCTCCAATCCGCTTACTCATACTCCTATTTGTTCTACCAATGTTGGTGCGTCTACAATTGCAAAAGAAATGATAAATTCAGTGGGCGTCGGCAGAGAGTGATCCAGTATGCTTGGTCTCTGATACTCACTGCGATCTGCTCGTCCAGAGAGGGCGGACTTCAGAGGCACTGAATTGCGTCTGAATTCAGTTACTACTTGTCGTTCTACGCGTCAGCATAAAACACCCTTGGAAACCCAGATGTGGATAGACGATCATTTTCGACATGATGCTAGCCGTTATTCGGCATCCTGGGGTAAGCATACTTTTTCCGGGAATGATGTTATCTGTGGAGAAAACGATTTGCATCGATGGAATTCAGTGAAACTTCCAGAAATGTCGTGCGAAATATGGCGACTCTGCCTAGCTGCATACTGGCTGAACCGGTGTTGGGTCAGCAATTTTAGGACCTGACCTAGCTGATCTAAAAAACAGGTTCGCAGGATAGCCTGTAAGTATAATTAGTATCTCAACCTAATTATGCCACGTAAAGTACCTTGGAGTGTGATCTGTAAAACGTTTTTGATCAGGTTTATTTGCTTTTCCATTTGACTGAATTTAATAGTTCGCGAGAAATCAGCTTGCTTACAAATGGAATTATACAGAAGTTTGAAGGTTTAACAATTGTATTAACCTCAGAGCATCAGAAACTATTGTCAGAGCAGCAAAAACGCATATCTTAAGCAGCTTGAAAATTGGACTAGCGACTCTGTCTACAGTCTTCAGTCACAGCTTTACAATATGCACAGTCCAATTCCACTGAGCCCCCTCTCGTAAACTCAATCGCCTATTTCTGTTGTGATGATGGTTTCAGGTGTAATTTTGATGCGTGTTTCAAACGTCAAGAAGACTTGTTGTTCACAAAGATAAGTTGTCAATATATATATATATATATATATATATATATATGTCTGTATACAGACAATGTACCATCAGAACCATAGTGAAAGTGAAGACAGTAAGCATACAAGACAAGAAAAGAAACGTCTTTTTGGGTTTCACAAGTCGTTCTGCGTTTTTGTTTTCTGTTGACATATATATATATATATATATATTTGAGATCATTGCACAGAAAAGATGGCACAACAACGCTGGCGTCACTGATGTCTGTTACGTGCCATCACACACAGCGTTTGCTACCACAGGAATTCCGAGTCACGTGGTCCAAAACCTTGGAGGTGCACTGATCCGACTGAAGCTAAGCTTGAGGCGGCTTCCTTCATGCTCCTTTTCCACGTCCTTGGTTGTCCACCGCGATACTTTTCCATTTGCTTCCGGGAAGCGTAAGTAACGCTTGCCGGGGAAGGCGATAGGATGGCATCCGCAGTACGTGGCCGAGCCAACGCATGCGGCGTCGGAGAACAACGTTTTGAAGACTGGCACTGTTCGATCCAAGCACTCGTTCACGAACCTCCGTATTGCTTATGTGATGTTGCTACCACACACGAGCGATCCTTCGCAGACAACGGTTGTCGAAAACGGACAGTTGCCGCATGTCCTCCGAGCGAACATACCAGATCTCACCACCGTACAGCAAGACCGTACGGACGGAAACATTGTACACCCTTCACTTGAGCTTGAGACTGACGTCAGGACGACGCCATAGGTGCCTCAGTTTGATGAAAGCAAGGCGGGCTTTTGCAATGCGCTGGGAAACCTCATCCCCAACACCGCTACCAGCCATGATGCGACTCCCTAGATAAGTGAAGCAATCCACTTGTTCCAGAATGTCACCAGCAATGGTGAGCGCGCACACAGGCCCCTGTCATTGTTGAAATAGCACTTTACATTTGGCTTGGGTGAAATAAAGCTACAAGTGGATGCTACAATCGCTAAGCGGTTCAAGCGGTTTTGGGTGGTTTTCAGATTGTCACCCAGCAAAGTGCTGTCATCGACATAGTCAAAATATGCGATTCTGGCGCCAGGGAGAAGCTCAACAAATGCGTGACAGATGGTGGTATCACAAATCTATGAAGTTTTTAGTACACTCGCATTCTTGTCCACTCTTCGCTTGCAATGTCTGGAGGTACACAAGCGAGACACAAATGATTATAGGTAACAAGTAGATATTGTTGACCGTAACTACGAACGCCCTAAGTTGCACACTTTAGAGAATGATCAATACAAATGCTTCAGATGCATGGGTACTTTACATGCTCTGCAAGATAGCGAGGTTCGGACACGTCTCTTCCTTTAGATGTATCAGGATTATCCTTGCCGAACCCTTGTGTGCGTCATATGCTTTTCAATCTCACGATATGCTTCCATCGTTCCATGGTTGTTTCTGATTGCACTCGGGTGCTTTCCTAGCTAAGTGGTCCAAAATAAGTTGCGAAAATCGGTTTGCCACCGATCAAGACGATATCATCAGCATTGTTTAAGTCTGTCGCACGGCTGTACGCCACAAACTTTTAAACCCATCAGACTGGTCAATAATGCGCCCTAATGTCAAAAAGCAACGGGGACATAAGGCACCCCTGCTACACACCGATGGTGACTGCGAAGGTGAGGGGAGCTTGCAGTAGTCTTAGATTTGCTAGACATTGGTGCGTATTACCCGGAGGATGGAGGTATAACTTTCGGTTGCCTCGTACTTTTACACTTCCTGTCACAGAGCAGGCTGATGAGCGGATTCGAATAGTCTGAATGTCTATAACGGCGACGACACTAAACGCGATAAAGGTGACCAGATTGTTGGTGGAGCAACAACATGGATTAGACACACCTTTGACCGGTGCAGAGATCAGAGTCTCCAACACTGAAGTGTAGTTCTCGATTCGGTTTTAGTCTGTGGAGTAGAATGGATGCTAATGGCTTTGACACAACGGAAATTCGACTGGTTATTCTGAATATCGTGACTATACTCGATCCACTTCAAGGTGATGGGACTTTAGTTCGTGTCCAATCCTTGAGAACAGTGCCGTTAACTGGTTGCAAATTAACTTGCCACCGTACTTGAATAGCTCCGGTAAAAGTCCACTTTAGCGTCAACTTTGAATCGTTTCATTTGTCGTAGCTCAAGGCAGACCTCAACGCCAGTGGGTAGTTTCAGTGAGACGTCGCAGGGCATGTGATTGGGTCTATCAGGTAGGCAAGCGCACGAGTGTTCAGATGAATTGAGAGTGGTGTTCAGCACAGAGGTCCATGTGCTCAAACAAGTTGGTGATTTATGATCTATCGGCCTTGCAATTAGCCGTACTGACGCCAGGTCTTCTGTGTCCAGTGGTC